ACAGTACGGGGTCAGCAGTTGCCAAAAAAACAGGTCACTGCCGTGTCACTACCCCACCTACCCACCTACCTGAAAGAGGACTCTTGTCAGTTCTCAGATGAAGGCCAATCTCTCTCAGTCGGCTTCTTTCTTTGTTTGTTTGCTTCTTTTTCTTTTGTTTTGTTTGTCTTTTAGAGATAGGGTCTCCCTGTAGCCTGGAATTCACTATATAGACTAGGCTGGCCTGGAACTCACAGAGACCTGCCTGCCTCTGCCTCCTGAGCACTGGGATTAAAGGTGATGGGATTAAAACATGCCTGGCAATGTTTTGTTTTGTTTTGAGAAAGGTACTTACTATGTATCCCTGATTTGTCTGGAACTCTACATATGGATGGACCAGGCTGGCACTGAACTCACAGAGATCTGCCTGCCTCTGCCTCCTGAGTGCTGGGATGAAGGGCATGTGCCACCATGTCTGGCTGGTGGGACCCTTGATAAGACCTGCACTTTTCCATGACCCCTCCTCATTCAACTAGGGCCCTGTGTCACCCCCTAGAATCCTCCCAGCTCTCCATCCACCCCCTGCCTATGGACTTATAACCCCAATGGTCCTTTTACGCATGTTTGCCCTGGGTGTGCCATGGGCAGAATAGCTATAACCACTCCTGGCCCTCCCTGCAGCCTGGCTCAGGTGGGCTCTTAGGGGACGCTCCTGAGTGAAGTGCCTGGCTGGGTCCTCTCCCTGGGAGTTTTTCCAACTCTACAAAATATAGTCCCCTTTAGGGTTGACCCAGGCTCGTGAAGCCATAGTTCATCCTAGCACCACCCAAGCATCCCTGCAGAGAGGACAGCCCCATTGTGGCCATTTTGTCCTTCCTGATCATCGGTCAAGGGTGAATGTATGTCTTCATCCAGTGAAGCTGCTGTGGCTTGGTGACAGCTATGTACCAAGTATGCTTTGGGGCTCATTGCTGACCAGTGGGCAAGCACTGTGTAGTCTGGGGCCCATTCATCACCTGCACCAGGCCTCAACTTCTCCATCTGCTTCACTTTAGCTCTGACATTGGTGGGTCAGTGAAGGTTCTAGAGTCCAGGTTTGAAGCAGATGCCTTAAGTCTGAAAGCATTCCTGGGTTTCAATTTCTGATTCTGGAGTCTTCTTAGAGGTGAGGGAGATTGATGCATGAGACTATGTATAGATGAAAATCTATTCATCCACTTCTCCAGGCCCGATGCTTGGGCTCAGCAGCTGTGATGCTGTCACCTGGTGGGCACTCACACAGTACTAGGCACAGCCCACCAGGTTCCTGGGGCATGGAAACTGCTACAGGGGCAGATGGAGTACACGTACACACACACACACACACACACGCACACACAGACACAGACACACGCATACGCATGCACACAGACGCGCACGGACAGACAGACAGACACATACACACATGCACACAGACACGCACACACAGACACACGCATGCACACAGATGCGCACGGACAGACAGACAGACACATACACACACACACACATACACACATGCATGCACACAGACACACACGCATGCACACAGACACACACGCATGCACACAGACGCGCACGGACAGACAGACACATACACACACACACACATACACACATGCATGCACACAGACACACACGCATGCACACAGACACACACGCATGCACACAGACGCGCACGGACAGACAGACACATACACACACACACACACACGAGAAACTGGGCTGTGTGCCTGGCCAGGCAGAGGACGGTTGACCTCTGCTTTCTCTTTTCCTCAGTTTCCCAGAATCTTGGTTCATGATCACTCTTCCTCTTGCAATAGAAAGAAAATACTGAAATTACAGAACTAACCATCTCTCGGAGAGAGACTGACCTTGCCCAAAGTCGTTCCTCCATGTACTTCCCTAAAATAGACATTCACAAAATGTGTGAGAAGGGGAGGTGGTTAGCACCATCTGCCAGGGTGCACTTGGCTTTTGACAGGAGCAGACACGATTTGCAGGCACCATGGGGCTCCACAAGGCCAGCATCCCCCCTGTCTAGGTGGCTGATGACCACAGCAGTGGTGTGACTTTAGGGCAGAAACTGTTAGGTCTCTGATGCATGACCAAAACGTTCTGAGTCTCATGTCTAGAAACAACATCTGTAAAGAAACCAGGACTGTTTTTCCCTTGCATTGGAACTGAGGCCCATTACGTTGCTGTCACAGACTCTGGCAGTGTTTTCAACACTTACCAAGCCCTCCAGGTGGATATGCAGATGGTCTCGGGTCTGATTTCCAGAATCAACTGGACATTAGTGGGAAGTTGGTGGTTGCCAGTGGCAGACCCCACTGACTGTGCCTGCTGGGTCACAGGAAGTTCACATCCGGTGCCTTCCTTGTTCACCTCTGAAGCCAGTGTATACAGTAGGTGTATATGGACCCTCTTAAGATGTAAAGGTGGGGCTCAGAGAAGCCAAGTACCTGAGGGCCACCCAGCCTGGGAGATTCTGCTCAGCCATTTAGCTTTAGCTTTCAAGCCTGCCTGACCCAGGAATGTTCATTCTGTCAACCAAGACGGATGCCACGGTCCCACTGGCCACCCTGCAGATACACCTGTGGGTCTGGGTAAGAATTAGGCTGCGGTGAGTCTGGGATGGGCCTCTAGGGTCTTCTGCCTGGGGTGGTGCTGGGTCTGACTGATTGGGTGCCAGCCTTGATGGGCCATGAGCATGGAAAACGACCTAAGATAGCTCTATCACACAAGTGACTGCACCATGAGCAGCTTTGGGGGCTCAGCCACCCAAGAGGGAAGAGTGCACACCCAAGATTTATTTAGAGGGCAGCACTGTCCCCTGCTCAGGTCCCTGGAGATCACTCAGTCTTGGCTATCACTGTCATGGGCAAGGTGGGTGAAGGAATACAGAGGCATTTGAAAGTCAAGGGGAAGTCATGTATGCATGTCTGAAATTAGAGGGATTTGGCACAGCCCTCTACAGCTGGGATCCCCCTCGAGCAACCATGAAAGGTTTTCAGCTATGTGTGGCCAGGGATGTGTCTGTGTCTCTTAGGTGGAACGGGACCCAGGAGCCACCCTGCTCATGTTGCAGGCAGGAGCTCCCCACTGCCAGCACAGGGAGTACACCTTCATGTGTCCAAAGTGGGCCTGGGATGACCTGTGTGACCTTGGCTACTGCCCCAGGGGGAAGAGGCTGGTCAGCCTCTCTTGTTTCCGATGGTTGAACCTACTTGTCCTGTGTCACCTGTCACACCTGTAGCCTGGAATTCGCAACTTTGGGTACCAACCTTGATTAGAGACATAAAGTTGAGCTGTTTACAAAAGAGGGGACCTCTGCTATTGGTCCTATTGGCGCCCCAGCATGCTGCTTGTTGGAGTGCCTCTCGTTGAGACCAAGCAGGTGCAGGCTTTATTGGTCTCCATGCCACTGAGAGTCCTTTCCTGGGAAGACCTCAGAGCCCCAGAGATGGGTCCAGCCCACGTCTAGTAGGTGAGGGTGGGGCATGGGCCTGTCTAGAAAGGCTGTATTTGTAGGCAGCATGCAGGTGTCCCAAGCTCATTAAATTGGAGATCTGTGCACTGTGGGCCTGGAAGTAAGGGGAGTGGTCCTTATGGCTTGGGCCCCAAGAATAGGCAGGAGGGGTCTAGCTGTCAGGCAAGGATCAGTGTGGCCACAGGACCACCCCTTCTCAAGGCTCAGGCCTCTCTCCTTTGAAATGGGATGGTGATATGGTCACAGGTTGCATGTAGCCCCTCTTCCCTCCTGCTCCCTAGCTTCTCTGAGACTTTCATAGCCCTATGTGGATAAAGACGTGGTCACTGAGGACCAACCAGGGCATGGGGCTCTTACAGGTTACAAATTCCATCTGTAGAGACAAGCTGATCCAGGCATCACCTCCCAGGTAGGGGAGAAGCACGAATACCTAAGTGGGTTTCAGGGCTGAGAACATACATGGGGAACCTTCAGCGGGTCCTTCTAGTCTCTAGATCTCATGAGTTCTAGAAACTCACTGTGGAGATTCTGCTGTGAGGAGGGTGAGGTGAACAGCCCTGGGCCACCATTCTTCACCACATTCAGCCTGTCCATGAGTAGAGTAGCCCCTAGTCCTATGGTTACAGAGTCAATGTGGGGAAGACATTTCAGGACACCCCCCTGAAAGGATACCCCGAGCCTTCTTGCAACCTAGGACTCATGGGAACCTGGATGCTGGTGCTCAGCATGGGGAGGAGAAGGGACAGCCTGGGAGTCACTGTGGCCAGGGCTGGCTTCTTGTCTTGGTCCTGGCTTGCCCCTGTCTATCTTGGGAATCTGTACCTCGCAAACCCCACCCAGATAACAGATGTTATTCCCAGAGCAAGGCAGGTGGTGGGACATTTTTGTTGGGTGGACCCAAGAACATAAGGCAGGTGAGGGGCATTCTTACCTCATAGCTCCTAGGACTATGGTGTGTGTGAGGGGCAGTGGGAGCATCATGAACTGAGCTGGAGGGACCCCCCAACCCCCACCCTCCGGTGCTCTCTGATGCAGGCCAGACAGGAGTAATGTGTGGCGGTGGGAATACATTCTTGTCCCAGGGAACTGTGAGTGTCACTGTGGGGCCTGAAGCAAGGGGAAGGGCTTAGCCAGGAGCAGGCAACCAGGTCCCATCAGCCCTTCCTCCACAGTTACAGAGGGCTCTAGGGTAGGGGTTAGGGCTGCGTTATGGCTGGGCTGCCTGGGAGCCATGACAAGGAGTTACTTTGGATTGTGGGTCCTGGCAGGCTGGAGCTGGGTGAAGCAGGGCATAGTTCTTTATGCTGTCTTCTACCTCCTGTGACTGTTTGAAATTCTAGGCCCCTGGTACCAAGGCCATAGTGACCAGTGTGTAGGTCTGCTTATCTACAGATGACTGTAGGGGTGACAGAGGCAGGGAGGGCTACACTGCCCCTGCCCCATGTCTGTGTCCAAGCCACCAGACCTGCCAAGCTGAAGCCTTCCCTCTTGGCCTCCTTGTGTCTTGCAGAACATGGCCATTCCAGAGCGCTGTCCAGGAAAGTGGGAGCCTGTCATGGACATCAGAAGACCTTCCAGGACCTCATTCCCAGGTAGCTGTGTCTTCCCCACTCGGGCAGAGAGGAGCTCACTCCATCAGAAGCAGGCGTGGGGATGATGGTGGTCTGACACAGAAGGGGCCATAGTTGGTTTTTGAGAGAAGCCAGCACTAGTCCTGCCCTCACAAGCCCTACCTGGTGCCAGGCCTGCCCTGCCCCCAGTCTCCTAGGGGCTCAGCCTGACCTCAGACCAGTGGGAGAATTCCCTGCCTCAGGACAGAACAGAATTGGTGCCAAGAATTCCAGGCTCCTGTTCTAGCCCTTTCCCCTCACCCCTGCTATGTGGCCTATGGTGGCCTGACTTGCCCTCTTGAAGCAGATGGAATCTGGCAGGGCTGGCAAGGACAGCATGCCCCTGGTGGAGGGTAGAATTGGTCCTGAGACTGCCTCTTGCAGCCCGGTCATGCAGTAGGCACACACAGCCCCCAGCCCCTTTGCTACCTCCTGTCCATTAGGACAGGCTCCTTCAGTGCTTAAAACTCAGTGCTCTGGTCCACAAGATGGGCAGGGATACCTCCTGGTGGAGATATCAAGGGCTGCATAGTGACCCCTAGAGCTAACCCGTCGCTTGGGTGAAGGGCCCAGGTTGAAGATCTAGACACAGTCTTTGCAGCAGGCAGTATAATCTACTTGATGCTGTGTACTGTGGGCCATGACCCGCCCCCCCAGCCTCCCCTCCTTCAGCTGGTTTCAGCAGGCTTGGGATCAGCCATCATTTTGCTCGGAGTCATTGCGTTAGAGTCATGTGCTGGCACTGATCAGGAGGGTAGGTTGAGGCAGAGGTAGTGTGCCTCTGGCTAGTAGGTAAGGCTGTGCTGGCTTTTCTCTAGATACGGCTGAGAAAGGTCCTATATCCAGGAGCCCAGGTCTATGGGACAGCATAGCTACTTGGAGGCTTGAGTAACTCCCTACAGCGGCTCTGGGTCTGCTACGTGTCACTTAGACGGGACAGGGCTCCCACCCTACCCTTGTCAAGGTCTATGGGACAGCATAGCTACTTGGAGGCTTGAGTAACTCCCTACAGCGTGTCACTTAGACGGGACAGGGCTCCCACCCTACCCTTGTCGGTCTGTGTATGCAGCCTCCTGGGGTGGCAGCATGGCCAGACCTCTGACAATGTGCTTCCCTCCAGGGACAGCTCCTGTATATGACCTCATCCTTGCAGCCCCTGTGGCCTTGACTTGGCCCATGCAGCTGCTGCTAGCCCTCAGAACTTACGGAATGGGACCAAGCTGCAACCTCAGAGTTGGAGCACCTAGAGCCCCAGCCCACCCCCTCACAGCCTGTGTGCCCTGTGGTTCTGGGGGAAGGGTCTTGGCTGGCCTCTACTGGGGATTCTGATTTCTTACCTGTGAAAAGGCATCCAGGCCTCTACATCTCAGGTCCAGAGGGGTGGCAAAGACACTCAGGCAGGCTAAATTGTAGGGCCACCTGGATACTCTTACCCAAAGGTAAAGCCAGCATGTCTGTCCTCACCGATCACAGGACAGGAAAGGAACTCTGGTTCATTCGTCCTTCCACAGACAGAGCGGCTTAGAACCACAGCCGTTGTTGGTGACCTGTAAGTTCAGCTCTAGGCTTGCAGAAAGACAAAGCAAAGAAAGACATCTCCTACCTTAAATGCCGTTCGAGGAGGCCATTGTCGACAGTGATGCTGAGAGTGGGGTAACTTGTGCTAAGACCCAGAGCTCACACAGACCCTGGCCAGTCCAGGGAAGAAAGAGGGAGGGATGGAGAGTTCCTCACTGTCATGCCAAATTCCCCTCGCTGTCTTAAGTGCCAGCACGCTTGCCATTTAATCCCCTCTCTTCCAAACACCTACGTTGAAAGGCACAGTAAGCTGCCTGCAGGCCTCTCTGAACCTGGCTTTGCTCGTATGCCCTCCCTCCGTGTCTGTGTCCTGGCAGCCGCATCCTGCTGCTGACTAGGGCCTCATGGGGGGGTGGGCGCAGGATTCCATGAGGTTTGAGTCTTAGCATTTGGCCAAGAGATCATGTAGATGAAGTGGCCTCCTTGGCCTTGAGCCACCCCAAGCTCCAGGTGCCTACCGAGCTGTGCGCAGGCCTCTTGGGGATCTCGAGGCCAGACAAGAGTGCTCATGTATGTTCTCAAAGACCTAACCACTGTCTCTTTCCTTCAAGGCCTAAGCTCTCTTGATGACTTCACTCAGTAGAGGACCATGTCGACCCCAGGTCAGTGCAACATTTTGGTTGTTGATGGAACTCAGGCCCACCAGGCTCAACCGCCAGCCTCTTTCCGGAGCTCTAGGATGTCTAGGCATGTGCAGGTGTACCCAGGAAATTTACAGCTCTCTACGGTGTTACTCAGGGCTCAGTGGGTTAATGTCCCAGCTGCCACTGTCATGGCTGCCTTGTGTTTTTGACTGGAGATCTGTGTACTTGGAGTCTATTGTGCGCAGAGGCGGTTGCCAGCTGGGGAGCTGTGCCAGCACAGCCCCTCTCCCAAGGAGCCACCCCCCCAAAGGTAGATTTGGGAACATTTAGATGACTTTAGCTCCAGGGAATCAGTGTGGCTGTGGTTAGGAGCAGGCCTATCACCTGGACTTCAGGCACTCTACACCATCTTTTGTGAGCCAGAGCAGTCATATTTGGACTTGGGATCCCTCTGTCATCTGGGCTTTGGTGTGTACAGGCCAGCAGGCTGGGCTTGCCACATATGCTGCCCAGGTCTTTGTGTCTGCACATGGGACCAGGGCTGTCAGCCAGTACCTCTGAGTAGGCTGAACACAGCTGGCTGGGAAGTGACTGGACCGGGGACTTAGCAGATGGGACAGGACAGAGTAGGTGAGCACAGGCAGAGACAAAGAAGATGAGCAGGACACCCAGACACACCCCGAGGGTGCAGCTGGCTCAGAAATCCTGGGGACCTGGAAGCTCTTGACCAAAGTACTCTAGTCCAGAGCCTGGCCTTGCCTGGGTACACAACCTACACCAGGCCTGCCTGTGACACCCTATCTCAGCCATATGCACCCCGGTACACATGATCCCAACAGTGCCCCATAGACACAGAGGGACCTCCAGGGTCCAGAGGTGCAGCCTTTACACAGGCTCAGGCTCAGAATCAGAATGTGCCCTGGGTCTCTGAGTGTGGAATGCTATCATGGCAGGACTCTAGGAGCAAGGGCAGGAGGCCCAGAGGGGGTCCTGGGCCAAGAAAAAGGAGGGCAGGCATGGAGATTCCCCTCCCCCAACAAGATGGGGCTCATCATCCCAGTCTGCTCTTCCAGAGCCCCTCAAGGGATCTAGAAAGAGGCAGCCCCACCTCCCCAGCAACCTGGGGACTGCAGGGCCATGAGGTCCTTTGGGGGACACCAGCTTGGATTGGGGGAGCTGTGGCCAGTCTGGGGCTCTAGAACTTGTTTAGCGAGGTTGAAGTCTGCCAGACCGAATCTGGGCCTGGGAGGTCTCAGCACAGGCAAGCCTCTGGCCTCCTCCCGTACCCACTCTTGTATAGCTGGCCCCCATGCTCATAACATCAGCCCCAGCACCTACCCACACTAGGTAGCCGAGGACAGGAGCCCAGAGTAACCAAGCAGTGGTCACGTGGCCTTGCTCAGTAAACTAGAGATGGCTGATTTTCTGCAGGGACCTGTCCCCTAGGTTCCTTGGCCAGAGAGGCACAGGTACACTGGAAAACCGAGCCTTGGGACAGTGGGCCTGACAGCCATGACAGAACCATGCTAGAAGTCATACCCGATTCTCCTGTCCCAAAGTCTGGCACTCCTAACATGGAGAGGGGCTCTCTAGACCAGCTGTCCCAGTGGCCTCCAGACATGAAAAGGACACAGATTCTTCTAAGATCAAATAGCCAGATATTTTTGTTGTTTTTGAGATGAGGTCTCTAGCCCAGGCTGACCCAAGCAGATGTTGAAGGTGATCTTGGATGCTTCATCTGTGTGCCTCCACCTCTCAGGTGCTGGGATTACAGGTGCCTGGTTTCCATAGTACTGGGGATTAAACACAGGATTCTGTGTGCTAGGTAGGTACTCTGTCATCTGAGCTGCAGCCTCCGCCTCCGAATAGTCTTTGATTATCCCTAAAAATACCCTGCATTTGCTCTTTGTCCCCAGTACAATCAATAACATGCAGAGTCCCAAGCTTGGTCCCATACCAGCTCTGACTTGGAGTAGTACTCTGGCCTCCGACTCTGGCCAGCCGGCGGGGTGGGGGGGGGTAGTAGGATGCTTTTGGAGAAATGCTTCTGGGAAGCCAAAAGCCCTGGGGAAGGCTGTCCTTGGTGTGGGTCCTCTCAGAGAGAAGCAGCTCTGGCCCCTCTACGCAGCTTTGTGACCTTCCTATACATCAATGTAACTGAGTCTCTATGCCCTCATCCCTAAAACACGGAAGGGCGGAAACTCCCATGCTGCTATGCGACTGTGGGGAAAATCACAGCCTCTCTGTGATCCACTTCTGTAGCTAAGGAGCAAGTTTTCACAAGGGCAGAGTGAGCCCCAGATGTGAGGGGTTATCAATACCTGGCACATTGCAGGTACAAAGTGTTCATACACACTGGGCTTCGTGGCACAGGCCTGTGATCCTAGCTACTCAGGAGGATTGCAGGTTGCAAATTTGAGGCCAGAATGAGTTTGAGATCAGCCTGTAAAACTTAGCAAGACCCTTAAAATCAAAGGACTAGGGATGTAGCTTCGTGGTAGAGCTTTGGATCTGATCCCCAGTCCCACCCCTCCCAATGGTTTCACATGCATGGGTCCCCAGCGGGACATGTACACAAGTACTGACGTGAGTTTGTAATCTTGGGTGGACGGGAATTTGAATCCAGGACCACGTGTCCCCGCCGCCCCCACTGAGAAGAGACCCTTGGTGAGCAGCAGAGACCCCCGTACTGTTTATTCTCCTTTAGAGGTGTTAGGACGGCTGTGGTTGCACCAAGTGACCTTGTCATGTGACCATGGAAACCCTGCCCTATAAAGATGATGTGGACTCCACCCAGTTTCACATTTTTTCCCCACAGGCCCTGCTCTGACTTGTATCGACTGGTCGCTGTCAGAGGCCTGAGCCCTCTGCTGTATGAGTTGTACTCCCTTACGAGCCAGCTAGTCTGCGAGGGCCCTTCTGCCAGCCACAGCCCCCAGGTCTCAGTTTACCTGTCTGTGAAGTGTGACTGCTCTCCATACAAGTTTTTGCCCTGTACAGGTCAGGAGGCAGCAGACAGCACAAGGTGGGATCTGTGGCCCCAAGAGCTGGTCTCCTTGCCTCTGGGTCACAGTTTGATTCTGAGTAAAATTTGGTCAAGACAGAGCACAGGGGTGGAGAGGGGATGTAAAGGAATCCCACAACCCCCTGGAGCTGGAGTCATCCCTCTGTGGGGTCTGTGGCTGGTCATTAAATATCCACTGACAATTGCCCTCTACCTGTAGAGGTTTGAAACCAACCATGAGGAGCAGAGGGCAGTGGGACCTTTAACCAGAGACCAGAGTAGGGGATGGGAGTAGGTGATGTTGCTTGTTTGGGAAGCAGCTAGGGCAGGGTGAGCAGGCATCTAGGGCCATCCTAGCCAGAGCCACAGAAGGTGGGGAGGGGACACAGCTGCATATACCTGGAGTAGGTCCCTCTTGTGGCAACTGCTCTGTCTCCTAACATGACTCCTGCCCTCGGCCAGTTGGCATCAGATAGGAAGGAGTTGCCTGGCCCACCAGTCCCTGGAGCACAGGCTAGCATTTGGACCCCCTGGCTTGAGGCCACCCTGACCTGGGCAGGCGAGGACACGTCCCACAGGGAGGCTAGGGCAGAGAATTGTAACCCAGAGGACATCAGGCGTGGGAAGCCCCGTGGCCTCTGGGACCCTCACTGTGCTCCTTGACAGCTGCACCAACCCCCTTGAAGGGGAGTGTCACAGCATCTGGAAGCCCTGAGTGCCAGGACATTTAGATCCTGGGCAGGAAGAAGGCTCTAGAAATTACTTGCTTGGTCCTCTGTGTCTGGTCAGACCATCTCAGGCCACAGTACAGGGCAGAGCCCTGTTTCTAGTTAGGATGCTTCTCCTTCCCCTGCCAAGCCTCTAGTGGTCCCCACCCTCTGACTTCCGCTGCCTTTGTCTTTCAAGGGCTCCACAAAATGGCCGACACAGCCTTCCGCCATCTTGTAGCTCAGGCAAGTAGGAGGGAGGAAAGGAGACCCCTGCTTACTGCTTGCCCTGAGTGGCCTGGACAGAGCCCAGCACCAGCCCCCACCCTGTTCGGCCTTGGCTATGGTTACCCTGGGCTTGGCACAGCCAGCTGCTTGGCAAGGCAGCCTGGGAGTCCTGGCCCCTCACCCAGCCCTTGAGTGTCCCTCACCATCCCCTAAGGCTTCACCACTAAGCAGGCGGAGAAAAAGACTGCACACCAGAATCTAAAAGGGCAGCCACCAAAGCTGTGCTCCCACAGGGAGTCCTTGGCAGGCCAGCATGGATGGTTCTAGAAATGGTGTATCTTGTGTGGAGCTGGGTTCCTGAGACACCATTAGCAAAGGTGGATTTGGAATCAGCCCCACTAGAGAGGAAAACAGTACCTTCTGGCCTCCACATGCCTCTCAAACTCTTGACCTGCCCAATGATCTTTGGGCTCCCTGGCTAGGGGTGAGACAGGATGCCAGGCTCTTAGTAGCCTGTCAGGCCCATGGCCTGGGCAGCCTATGACCATCTTCAGGTAGCAGGCCAGGTGCTTGCTGGAGAAGGCTCTGTTCCAAGAGCTAGGCCACCCACCAGGCCACTGAGGTTCACAAAGCTGGGGGTGAGCTGTTCTTCCCACCCCAACACAGCCCCCTTCCCATGTAGTACCTGGTCCAGCAACTCAGCTCAGTGGGGATCCCCTGTGGGCTTCCTTGGAACTTTCTGTGCTTGTTAACAAGCTCATGCTGTTCCTCTGCCTTTCCAGAGCCCACCAGATCAGAAGCAGCTCATTCCAGAGTAGGCGTGATGATGGAAGCCAGGCCCACAAAACCCCCAGCAGCCCTGGGTCATGGCCACGCAGACAGTACACACTGGCTTCCTAAGGTAGGACAAGCAGGGTGGCCTCTGGGAGCCAGGAGTAGCCAGGCATCCCTGCCACCCCCATGACAAGATCCTTGAAAGAAGCTAGGAGCCAGTTCCGTGTGAAGTGGGGAAAGGGGCCCTCGGAAGGCTGGTGCCACCTCTGGGCAGCGTGGGGGTTGCTGAGTGACCCTGCCGGGCCCCGTGCTCTCTGTGAGGGCAGCAAGGGGCTGTGTGTAGACAGCAAGGCCAGGCTTTCTCACTAGAAAGTTTGATCTTCTTTCCCGTGTTTCCCAGGCAGAACATTCTATCACCCTGATGTGAGGCTTGCCCAGGCCATGTCCTCCATCCAGAGAGACCCAAGAGAATGTACTCAGACTGCCGACCAGAACAGTGCCAGGTCAAGCCCAGAACTTCCTATGTGCCAGGTCAAGCCCAGAACTTCCTGGGAGCTGTGGAGAAAAGTTCTCCAAGGAAAGGCCAGGGCTGGGAGGGAGCTGATGAACGCATACTGCAGAGCAGGCAGGGTCTACACTGGGTCATCTCCATGGTGTTACGTCTGTAGCCACCTCCTACCCACCTGCCTATGACCAAGACTGGGGCTTGAGTTGAGAATATCTAGGGATGAGCACACACCTTGCAGGGTAAAGCTGTTAACCTGACGTATAAAGGTCCAGCCCCAGCCTGAGTGTTGCTGAGAGGAGGGCCCTGAACACTGGCCGTTCCCTGCTGCGCACCAGCCCATTCGTGTCTCACCCTGGCTAAGAGTAAGCAGCTTCTCCATGCCTCCTGCTACTGAAAGTACCAGCTGGCAGTCTCACCAGGTCTCCAGAGGAGGCCTAGGGGCCGTCCCTCATACCCTGTTGCCGTGTGGAAAGAGTTGGGCTTAGATCCTGGCCTCCCCAGCCAGCTCCAGGCTCTGAATACTCAGATATCTTTCTCTTACGGGATTTGCTGTGGGCCACAGTGCTCATCACCTGTCTGTTTTCGGGGTGGCAATGCCCCCACTGCATTTTAGTCCTTAGGTCTGGCCCAAGGTCCAACATAGGGGCTCCATCTTGGGCCCTACCAGCATGAGATTTGAAGAGCCAGAGGCAGCCGGGTCCAAGGCATTTAGGTACCAACTCCAGTTTTAACCCTGCGCTTCTGGGGGGCCCCTAGGATCCTCTCTATAGACTTGCCAAAGCAGCCTAGTGTGAGGTTAGGGGAGAGTCAGCAAGCCTGGGTCATCTTCATTCAAATGTGATGTCTTGTCCAGGAACCTTTTTGTATTAATAATTTCTCCAGATTTCACACAAAAGTGTTACTTGTCTCAGTGACCGAGATTCTTGGTGACTCTCGGTCTTTAACATGCTTGTCCTTGCCAGACCCAAGATGGCACTTTGTGAGTGTGGCCTGTCTCTGGGCACACAGACCCAGGCCCGGTCAGTGAACATGCATCTTGTTAACTTTATGGACCGTGTTTGCAGGGAGACCCGCCTTCTGCCCAGCCTGATGCCACCCCTCTCATCGTTCCCAGACTCGCTGTTGGCACGGCCTGCTGAGCAGAGACACCGGCTGCTTTATGGGAGAAACCTAATCAGGGAGGCTAAGGGAGGGGGACTGTCAAAGGGCGGGGGTCTGGCTCTTGGTGGCCCCAAGCCAAGTCTGAGGTGACTTCAGGGTGACACTGTCTGTCTGCCTCACTCTCTCCAGACATCCGCCCAGCCTGAAAGGGCCACCTGCCTGCTAAGGCCTTCTATGCACCTGTCCTGGCCAGTCTGGCTCCTCCCCCCAGGCACCCTGCCCATGGACAGACACTGAAGGGCCAGGGCCGGGCCGGGAGGTGGCAGCTGGCAGATGGCAGGGCGCCTGCTGACTGCTCAGTCCCTGGCAGCCTGTTCAGGACACCATTCACGTTACATTGCCTGCTCCTGCTGACAACCCTTCTCCAGCCTGGCCCCATAGGGTCCACTTGATCTGTCGCAGGACCTCTTCCTCGTCACTCCTTGAGAAAGTTATCTCTGGTACTCCCCCAGCCCCACACCGAGGCCTGAGGGCAGTGTTCAGACCCAGGCTGTTGGGCAGGTGGTCCCGGCACATCTCAACACCCCCAGTTCTAGAACTGTGCCTTTTTCCTAACTCACTCAAAAGGGAACCAGAAATGATACTATCCCCACCCCCCAAATGGGCTGTTGGCTAAAGTCCCATGGAGCCTGCGTGAGCCCCCTGGGTGGGGCAGAACTGAGCTTAGGAACCTGAGGAGGTCATGGTATCCGTGCCTGGCTGCCAGAGCATGGAGAGGTGGTGAAAGGAATGTGTCCGAGGAAGGCACCTGTAGGTCAGTCTCACCAGGCTCAGAGCCCTGGGCAGAGCCAGGCCCCCTGGGGTGCAGGGGCCTCTTGAAAAGGAGCAGGAAAAACAGGCCAGCAGCTCTTGGCAGAGGGACAGGCCAGGGCAAAGGCCAGGAGGTGGGAAGGTCCTGGGCGATGGCTAAGTGCAGAATAGGCCTGCCCAGGGCATTTTGGTGCTCTGGGGCACTTCATCAGGGGGTTTGGCTGACAGGGGCATAGTGGGACAGATCAGAGAAAGAGTGGCATTGTGATGGACAGCTTAGCTGGCTGTCAGGGAGGGGCCTTCCCACCCTGTGTCCTCATTACCCTCAGTAGCCACATGGATTCAACTTCCCAGCCTTAGAATGGGTGGCAGCCGTAAGGCTCACATGTCAGGCAGAGGAGGGCAGATCCTAAGGGGGGCTTGTTTCTGTGTACCCCAGGTGCAGCTCCAGAGCCCTTCAGCTGGCTGGGCTGCGCCCTCACCACCACCCATGTCTCTGCTTGGCTTTCTGTCCTTTTGCTGCTGGCTCTGCCAGGATGCTTTGGCCAGAATGGACCTCGTGGAGGTAGGGTGATGACTTGATTCATAGAAGTGAGCCCATGCTTCCTCTAAGCCCCTCCCCTGGTATGTTCTTTGAGGGCTCAGGCCCTGCTTGCCTTGTGTCCTGGGGAAGCTGCATCCCACTGCTGCCTCTGCGAGGGGATTAAACGCTCCCTCCAGGGTCCAGTTGTCTACCACAGGCCAACATTCATGGGGCCAGTATGAGACTGTCCCCTCCCTGTGGTTCCTTCCACCCTCTGGGCCACTGGCCACCCATATAGTCAGGCCACTGGCCACCCATATAGACACACCCAGCCACCCTGGATGAAGTCTGAGTCATAGTCTCTGACACAGCATGTCTATCACAGGGCTAGTCATAGAGGCCACTCTGTCCAGGGCTTTGCATGGAGAATGTCACTATGCAGCAGACAGACTGGATAGAAATGTCACTGTGCTGTGGGATGGCAGGATGGGGCCAAGCTGTATCCCTTGTGAAACTGATGCTTGTTGCTTTTGTTTCTAAGCCCAAGCAGGTCAGGAAGAGGTCCCAAGCAGGAGCTCCTGTCTGCAGCTAGCCTCCCTGTGGTGAGTGGGGCCTCCACTGTCCTTGCTCTGGAAAGTAGAGAGCCGTGGGAGACTTCAGAGAGAGGAAGGCTAGGGTCAGACCTGCCCTCAGCTCAGTTGCTTTTACCTGGAGGTCGTGTACTCCCCCAGGCTGTGCCTCCCCCTAGCAGACTGCTCCAGCTGACCCACCTCATCTATCCATGATGCACAATGATGTGATGACCTTGGACCCCATTGAGCTCCCTGGTCCTTCCACATCAGACTGTATGTGGTTTAATGGAGCCACAGCTCCGTTCATCACAGGCTCTTAAGAAGAAGAGTGCTCAGCCCTGTGTCCTCCCTACCCTGAAGACACTGTCCAAGGCAGGCTCACACCCCTCAGGCTCACCCACACTTGAGAGTCCTCTGAGGACCTCAGTATGAGATAGCTCCCTTTTCTCTGCCCTTCCATCACTCGGCCCTCCAGTGATCCTAACTCTTAGGCTACCTGCCATTGATGGAGGACAAGCCTGGGGGTACAACACAGGAGAGTCTCATCTGGTCTGAGAATAAAGACCACATGAAGGAAACTGAGGTGGGGGGGAGGGGACTGAGGTCAAGACCCACCAGGATGTCTGACTCCCACAGCTGGGGCCCTGCATCACCAGTGCTGCTGTTAAATACAAGCTCAGGTTGGGCACCGACAGGCTATAGGACAGGGGCTGTTGGGCCACCGCAGTGGCACATGCCAGCCTTCCACTGATTACTAACTAGAGTGGCCTGGAGCTGCTGATAGCATGGGCTTCTCTGGTCATGTCACCACATCCAGATGCAGTCTGGGACTAGGGCTGACAAGGTTACCCACAGCCAGTTAGCCTACAGGGTGGCTGGGCAGTGCTGAGGTACCCTTCCGCTTTTCCACCTGGACCACTATGCATAGCTGGGAGGACCGGGGGACCCTCAGCCACTCTCTCCAGCCCTCTTCCTGCTTTGCTTGCTCTGTTTGGTCCGTCCTTCGGGGATATGCCACTTATGTGCCAGAAAAGGGGTCCAGGCTTGAGGCAGGGGGCAGGGCCCCAGAGGCTCATATTAGATTTCCTTCTGGGGCGTTATGGAACACCGGTTCCCACCAGAATAGACTAGACAGTGCCTATACAGAGTGGGCCAGGCCGTAGTAGTGCTTCAGGACCCTACTCCCAGGTCACTCTGTCCTGCAGTCTAGCTATAGGGTACAGTGTGGGATTAGGCCTGATGATCTTCCTTTTGACCCAGGGACCTTGGCAGAGACAGATGGGGGCACCGAGTTGAGTGTCAGGCCTCATACAGGGAGCAATAGCTGCCTAACTTTTGGGGACTGACACAGGGTCTCCTTCCACAGTGGTGGGCAAGTCTGTCTGAGACCTAAAAGAGGCAACCCCTTCCCTTCTGCTGAGAGCAGAGCCACCTGGGGCCAGAGACTCGGCCTGCTGAGCCTGTTTCCTCACAGTGACTGGCCTTACAGGTAGAGGACTAGATGGCCAGCCTGCCTGGTGCCTGCTTGGAAGAGGTGGTTGCCCAAATTTTTTTTTTTTTTTTTGTCTTTTGAGACAGGATCTTTGTAGTCTAGGCTGGCCTGGAACTTGCTATGTAGACCAGGCTGGCCTAGATCTCACGGAGATCCACCTGCCTCTGCTGGAACTAAAGGCGTGTACCACCACACCCAGCTCTTGTAAGACAAAAACACTCCAACACACTGCCACCCCTCAGCTGGGAAGGGCTGCAGGCCTTGGTTTAGGCCTGTATGATGAGCTAATAGTAGGCTTGTCCAGGGTTCTCCAGCAAGTGGGTGGCTATGGGTAACCTCTCCAAGCCAACTGCTGCTCCAGGATGGGCAGTACTCAGTGTGGTGTCACCTGCCTGTTACATAGCAAGCAGAGAGACCCCCACCAGGCCCTCCATCCTTAGAACAGTCTCTGCAAGCAGGAGACCCACTCCAGGCCCTCCATCTTTAGCATGACCTCAGCATGTAGGGAGACCCAGGCCAGGCCCTCTGTTCTTAACTGGGCCTTCTCCCTGCCAGGGTCAGTCCAAGGCTCTGGGATCCCTGAGTTCAAGGCCAAGCAAAGGGCCCCTACTGGCCTCAGCAAACGCTGGCTGCCAGGGACAGATTGGCCCTGAATATCCAGCCAGGGTCTGCACTTCCGCCAGACTGGCCGCTGTGGGGAGCTAAGTTGCCTCCCACAAGGAAAAACTGATTTGAGCCCTCCCACAGCAAGGTCAGCTCAGGCCGCTCCTGGGGGTAGGGACAGGACTGGCGCCTACAAGGAGGGGCCCTTCCTGCCCAAGGGAAGTAGGGTGCATGCCCAAGGCCACTGCCCACTCAGAGTTCCAGTCCTCCAGTGCTGCTTGTGATAAAGGCTGGATCACACCCAGGGGGACATTGGAAATTCCCTTGACCTGGCTGGCCTTTGGCAGATGGCACCTTTCCCCCATCGTGCCTAAGGTAAGAAGAATCCTGTGAAGACGCGGTGGCCCAGCCGTCTAGCCCCTGGCGCCTTTCTTCATCCCTGCTACCCTTATGCTCTGTGCTTGGTAGTCTGGCTGCAGTGTCCTGGCCCACTCTTGGGGAACCCTCGACCTCCCACCTGCTGACGTCCTCAGCACCTGGCTGGCCTCATCAGACCCCTCACCATGTCCCCAGCTTTTTTTTCTCCCTCTAGGAGGCACCTCAGGAAGCCACGACAACCATCTCGACGCCAAGACTGACTGACGGCCTTTGGGGTGAGGTAGTAGGTTGTATGGTTTCGGGCTCTGCCCCGCTCTGCGGTAACTATACAATCTACTGTCTTTCCTGAAGTGGCCGCGATATCTGCAGTGGATGGAGTGCCAGCCCCAGCTGGGGAGACCGTGGGAGGTGCAGAGGTGGGGGAGTGGCTCCTGTACAAGTCTGATGAGGACCTTGGGCAGGTCTCTTGACCTCTCTGGCCTCTGTTTACTCATCCGTGCAGTGGGAACAAGTAGAGATGGGCTCAGTGTGCTATGTCCAAGGCATCCCTTTCTCTGGGCTGCACCAAGGGGCTCCCCAGCCTCCCTCTCCTGACCCCATATCCGGTCAGGACTCAATAGTTCTCACTGAGCAGGGATCTGGACTGGACCTTCAGCTCTGTTCAGAGTTCCTGAGACAGATACAGCCTTGCCACTGCCCCAGGGTGCCCAGCTTAGGGTAAAGCCTCTGATTAGCGGTGACACCTTCACCTACAGGAGGGGAAGAAAGGCACCTTTGTCCAAGCGGGAAGCAAGAAGGGGGCTCTTAGCACATCTGGGTACCCCGTGGGCACACACAACTTGTGGCTGGACAGTGGACGCCAGTGGGAAAGTGGTTCCAGACCTTGGAGGCTTCCGAGGCAGCCGATGGACACAGGCCTTTCCTGTCGAACCACTCTGCTTTTCCCCTGCCCTGTGCCGGCTGGGCCCTCTGGCTCTAGTGGCCTGCGGCCAGGGTAGGTGGGGAGTGGCTGGGCCTCCTGCGGAGCTAGGGTACCGCGGGGTGAGGTAGTAGGTTGTGTGGTTTCAGGGCAGTGATGTTGCCCCTCAGAAGATAACTATACAACCTACTGCCTTCCCCGAGGGGCCCAGGGACACATCCCCATGGAGGCCCCCACTCAGCAGGCTACATGGAGAGCCTGTGCCAGACAGGATGGGGGCTGTGCTGTGGGGCCTGAAAATCAATAAAGGCTGTTCTGATGTGAATTTACAACGGGTGCTCGGTCATTCTGGAAGAGTGGGGGCTGGTGATAGCATGAACAAGCTGACTATACTGTAGGCATGTCTACATGGATGAAGATGGGGGCTGTGCTGTGGGGCCTGAAAATCAATAAAGGCTGTTCTGATGTGGATCTACGACGGGTGCTCGGTCATTCTGGAAGAGTGGGGGCTGGTGATAGCATGAACGAGCCGACTATACTGTAGGCATGTCTACATGGGCGAGATGTTGCCAGCTAGGAGCCGTTCAGGGTTCTGGCCCCTGCTCAGCCTTCACCTCTCGTGTGCCCCTCTGAGCAAGTGGGCTGAGTGGAGTCACAAGCCCTGGAGAATGTACCCCAGGGGAGCAGCAGACCCTGTGATCCTGGATCAGCAGTTAGAGCATAGTGTAGGCAGGCTCCCAACCTGCTTCAGGCTCTGGTCTTGACCAGATCCAAGGAGTACCTGTCCTTAAATGCCCTACTCCTTCAGAACCATTCTAGGGTGGCCCTGAATGTAGCTTTCAAATCTTCTTGGGTTAAATGGTTACCTACCTTTCTTCCAGGGCCCCAGGCCCTACTGGTCACAGCATGGACGTACAGAAGAATCCTGTCCTTACATGACCAGATGCTGGGAGCTCCCCTTTCAGGTGCTGGCATGGCTGGGTCCATGCCCTGGCCCTGATGCCTCATGCCACCACCTTGATCCGAGCATCTGTCCTGAGCCCTGGCCTGCTTCAGCTCTGGGTACCCACAGCCCTGCATGGCCACACTTGGGCAGACCAGCACCTCCAACACCCATCCATGCCCATCCTGGGCTACCAGACCCTTCAAATTTCAGCCTGCTGCTTTGAGCATCTGATAGTGTGCTGTGCCCAGGGCTGAAGGGTGCCCAGAGAAGGAGTCCAGGCAGCAGGGAGGGCTTTCCAAAGTAGAGGCCATCTGAGCTGGGTCTTGATGGCTGTGTAGGAGTTGGCAGCTAGAGGCACAAAGGAGGGGACTTCTCAGTAGTGCTTTGTTGTGCCCTCCCTGTTGATCTGTGGGACCAGGGTGGATGATCAACTGGCACCCTTCACCTCCCTTTATCCTGTGGTCAGTTGGTGATCAAGTCTGTCTGCTCCTGTCACTAATATCAATTCTCAGGACCCATAGGGGAACTTCTTTCTGCCCTTTCCCGGGCTGAGATCTGCCATCTGTGTTCACTTCTCCCTGTGCTTCTGCTCAGCCTCGTACCCCCACCCCCATCCTCCGGGCCCCACCTCTGGCTACCATGGCTAGCTGTGTTTGAGAAAATTGTGATACCCAGGAGTCACCTCCTCTGGGTCCTCACAGGACATGGCCTCTGCCTTCCTCGTGGAACTCAAGGCCTGGTGGAGACGCAGACAGAGACGTACGAGAGCCCAGAGGAGCCCTGCAGTCAGGACTTTCGTCACTAGAGATGACTCCCTGAACCCACCCAAAGGTGGGCCTGTGGGAGTGTGGGAGCTACCCAGCACCTGGCAGAGTGCAAGAGTTCTGGAGGTGCTGGCCCAGGCAGGGCCCCCTACTCACCAAACCTATTTCGACGTCTTACCGAGGGGGCAGGAGTCCCACTTGAGAGGGTGGCATTAGGAGTCAAGGGCACCCCAGATTGCAATGCAGCAGGAAGGTCTTGGTGACTGGACAGACACCGGTACCACATGCCATCCAATCAATAAAGTGGCTCCTGGCCTGGCCTTGGTGCCTGGATGTGATGGGGTGGGACTGGGCAGGAACCAGATGGGTTCTGCAGACTGGAGGTTCCAGGATGTACTCCTCCAGGAAGGCTGGGGCTGTGATCAAGATGTACATAAGCACTTTGAGGATGTCATAGTTGAAGTCTGGGGAGGTGTGCAGGCTGGACCCCCGGGATAGCCCCAACATGTGGAAGTCAGGTCATGTTCTACCCTCTTAAGCCCAGGCAGCACACAGAAGCACAGCTTAGCCCTACAGATGGAAGGACTGCATGTCCCTGCCCATCTTGGGGTGACTCATCAGAGACTTCTGGTGTCCATGGTGGACCTTAAGGTCTAAGAAGACAACCTTGGCCTTGGCCCCTGTGAGAGATAGCCAAGCAGTCCAGACCCTGCAGCCTGGAGCTGAGCTGCCATGCCTAACATTGGGAGCACCAAGGGACAGCGCCACCCCAAGGGCAGGGCTGAAGTGTAACATGCTGTAGTGGAGGAACCAGCAGCAGCTAAGGGGTCTCTGGGGTCACACACAGAGAACCACAACTTGGGGCTCAGAGACGAGGCCCATAGGGCCTTTGGGGACCCTGAATGGTTTCATTTCCTTTTGAAACATAAGGCAAAAATAAACATGAAAATGTTGAATATATATAATAAATATTGTATAACAAATCGAATACAATTACTAACGCATTCTATAACAATGTGTTTTACACAGCGAAGATACAAAATCCTGTGTTGTATATGACATGGCACAAATTTGACTGCGGTTATACACATCTCTCTTCACACTGTTCTGGTCAGATGTATTGGTGGATTTTTTTTTTTTTTAATGGGTTCTACAGACCGGAGGTTCCAGGATGTATCCCTCCAGGCAGGCTGGGACTGTTTCAGGAAGGCTAATAACCTGGGCTCAGGTTCTGGGACTGCCCTAGAAAGGAGCCTGTTTCAGTTTGGGTCATCCCAGTTCTGTTCACTACATGCTGTCACAGATGGCCCAGCACCCTGGGCCACCATTGGGCAATGTGTTTCCCAGCAGCGACACCATGTGGCAACACGAGATTATGGCAGGTGTCTGTAGCATCTACAAGCCCCGCCCACCCTCAGCTCCGTGCAGGCTGTGAAGCAGGAAGGCTTTTCTGGGCTGTGCCAGCTTGGGCTCAAAGACAACTCAGGGAGGTCTGCATGGGGCCTGAGCTGCAGTCCATTCCACCCCCAAGCCGCCTCCACCCTGATGGAGCCCTGCTCCTGTTCCCACTCTGCACTGTCTGCAACATGGCCCCACTCTGCCCTGGAAGTCCTTCTGAGTCATAGGGAAGAGCACGGAGCCCAGTGCACAGCTTGGCAGCACCCTGCTAAGGCCTAGCCTGCCCCCTGTAAGCCAACAGCACCATCTCCCCAACACCCCTCTATCAGGTCTGTAGAGTAAGCCAGAAGGGGGCCACCTGCAGGAAGGTAGCCATCCTGAGCCTGAGACAATGCGGGAGGAAATGACTGCGTTTTTTGGAAACCTGGGGATGGAGAGGCCTGGACAAGGGAGACGGCCAAGAGGAGGCCACAGCCCGGGAAGTAGCTCCATCACTGAGCCCAGAAGGCAGGCGGGGCCCACAGAGAACAGACTGCAGGTGAGCCACTGCCTGGGTCTTTAACTCCCTGTGCTCATGACTCTCTGTTAGATTCACCTGTCCTATAGCATTCAGTGGACTTGGGTCTCTCGTGTTACTTCCTGAGATGGTCATCTGAGGGGTGGGACAGACCGTGGACCTGGGGACCCTGGAGATGATCCTGGGCCAGCTGGGTGAATGCAGCTGGTCAGTGCTCCTGAGCTCAGCCTTTCTCTAATGGGATGAGGTGGCACCAGCTAGACTGTACAGGTCAGACCTGAGATGACTGGAGATCTGAGACAGATCAAGGAGCAGAAAGCCTTCAGATCAGGCTTGCTCAAGGTCATAAACCTCAGCTATTCTTGAGCCCAAGGGCAGGTGGAGCTGTCATTCACCCAGAACTGTGTCCCTGCTTGCTGCACCTGGATGCCTGAGCTTAACACTCACACCCTGACCAACCCCAGCCTCCTCTCCCCCTCCAAACTCCCCAAGCTCCTGTGGCCTTTTGCTGAGTCAGGACCCAGCCTAGAACCCCCTACTTGCTGTGAGTCTAAATTCATAGCCAAGTTGCTCTATTCTATGGGGATGGGAGTAGAGGCATGGACTGTTGCTGTACACATCAGAGTGTGGGCTCGCGCTGGTGATGCGCCTGTACTGGTGACCATCTTTAGGACAATCCCTAGAGGCTGCCTTCCTGAGCCTATTTCATGGATATGGAGATCAAGGCTCAGAGAAATAGAGCAACTTTCTCAAGGCTGCACAGAAAAGCGAGGTAGAATGGGCAGGGGGTGGGCAGGTCTGCCCAGGGCGTCAATGGCTGTATTACCTTCCCAGACACTGGGGGCTATGGAGGGGCCAGGCAGGGGAGGGGCTGAGGAGGTGCTCGGTAAGAGAAAGTTGGTGCTCACCAGTCTGGCCTCCCAGAGTTGCTTCACTCTGTCCTGGGTTTGAACTGGGCTGACGCCCTG